TTAAGCTTCATGTCTGTCTCCTTTTTTAAAGATTGGGACTACATTTGCTGTCTTCCATGCCTCAGGCAATCTCCGTTTCGATAGATGTATTGAATATTGTTGTTAGGGGTTCACACATAGTGCCCCTGCTCCCTCTTTCAATACCATGGGGAGATGTTTTTCTGGCCCATTTCCTTTGAGGGATCTAGCTCCCCTCAGAAGCCTCTTCATTCTTCCTCGGTTTGTGTGCACTGTGTCCAGCACTTGGTGGTGTGCCCCCCCTTTTCCGTCTTTCTGGAGTCCCTTCTGTCTCCTCTGTGAACACTTCTTTGAATCTCTTGTTGAGTTCTTTACATAAATTCACGGTCATTTCCTGTTGTCTCTCCTCCTTCCCCCTTAGCCCGATTACCTGGTCCTTGACTGTTGTTTTCCTCCTGATGTGGCTGTACAACAGTTTCGGGTCAGATTTTGGCTTTCGCTGCTATGTTTATTTTCATATTGTCTTTGGGCCTCCTTCTTATCTGTGGCATATTCATTTCTGGCTCTACGACTGTTTTCCTTATTTTTCCTGGGTCCTTTGCCTTCTATATTTCTTCCATTCCCTAGCACACTTGGTTTTTGCCCCCCTGCACCTTTGGGTAAACCATGGGCTCATCTGGCTTTTTTATTACTCCTGTTACCCTTGGGTACAAACCTCTCCTCACCCCCTTGCATTTTGTTGCTACATATTCCATCATCTCATTAACTGGCTTCCCTGCCAGTTCTCTGTCCCACTGAACCCCGTTCAGGTAGTTCCCATTCCTGTGTAGTCCCCTTTCTTGTAGTTTGGCTTCATTCATCCTGGCCTTCCTGCTTCTCCTCCCACTTGTAGCTCTACTGTGTATTCGAAGCTTAAAAACCACATGGCACTGGCCCCCCAAAGGGGGTTTTTTCATTGTGATGTCTCGATATCTGCCTACTGAAGGGAATACTAGTCCAGCCTTGCTGGTTCATCCTCTCCCCTCTCTCTTGTAGTGTCCCTTACGTGTTGGTACATGAGTTTCTCCAGTACCACCTCCATCATCTTGCCCTCCATGTATCTTGGCCCCCCATGTGGGTCCAAGTTCTTCCCAATCGATCTCCTTGTGGTTAAAGTCACCCATGATCAGGAGCTTTGCACTGCATGCATGAGTCTTCTGGCCACCCTAGCCAGTGTGTCAACCATCGCTCTATTGCTCTCGTCGTACTCTTGCCTTGGCCTCTGCTGTTCTGTGGTGGGTTTTACATCACTGCTATTACCCCTTGGGACCTCCAGAGTGAAGTGTTCCCAAACCCTGTAATCACTTTCTTCTCCGCTTTCTCTCTCTCCAGCTCATCAAATTTTTCCCGCGATTTTTGATCGCAACGCCACTCCTCCACCCCCCCCCGTTCCCCCTGTCTTTCCTCAGGATTTGGTATCCCGTTGGAAAGATGGCATCTGTTATATACCTGTAAGCTTGGTTTCTGTAAGAGCTATGATGGGCCGGTGATGCTTCTTTGACTCTTTCGTGCCACTCCTCCCATTTTTTGTTATTCCATCAGCGTTTGTGTACCATACTTCAGTTTCCTTTCCAACACTGTGGTTTGGGGGGCCTGTGGGGGTGGGAGACGGTGGCTACTGGGGATCTATAGCTCGATGTTTGGGTGGAGGCTGTGGGTATGGATTGTAGTGTGTTTGGGATGGTGTGATAGGTTGTATGGTTCTGAGAGTAGTTGTGTGTGTGCTTGCCCCTTGCTGTTCTGTCCCGCTCTGACTGCCCCCTGCTGATTCCCTCCTTGTCTCTTTTCCTAGCTCCTTTCGTTTTTTTGTCCCTCTCCCTCAGCTGCTGTCGTTCTGATTTTGTTCTGTCTCTGTCCCAGGAACACCCTCTTGTAACTCTTCCGAGTATTTCAATCGTGGTTTCTCTTGGAGGATCCTGTTCCGCAAATGTTTCCGTCCTGAGAATCAGCTTTATTGGTCGGTTTCTCCCTTCGAGTACCCCCTTATTCTCCCGAAAATTTACAATCTCGTCCATCTCTTCACCCATTTCCGTTTATGATTTTCTCAATCTCCTTTCCTTCTTCCTGCTTCCTTTCAGTGTGTGTCCTTTCCTCTCTCTCCTGAAGCCCATGGATAACACTGATTTTGCTCTTTCTTCCTCCCATTGCCTCACCCTCTGTGACTCTGGATCCTGTCTGTATGTGGTCAGTTTCTCCCCTTGGGTTTTTCCAGTGGGTTTGATAGCCTTGTTGTCCTCAGCCCTTGACCTATCACCCTCTCCATCTGTGTGTGTGTTTTGTGTGTGTGTGTGTTGATTTTGTGTGTGTGTGTGTGTGTGTGTGTGTGTGTGTGTGTGTGTGTGTTTGTGTGTTTTGTGTGTTGTGTGGTGTGTGTGTGTGTGCGTTGTGTGTTGTGTGTGTGTGTGTGTGTGTGTGTGTTTGTGTGTGTGTGTGTGTGTGTGTGTTTGTGTATGTGACTTACTGGACAATAACAAGTACATTATCAGGGCGAACATAAGAGTAGGTGCCACGAACACGACCCTGGTCGTCCCCCTGAGCAGCCTGGGCGAAACGTACGTTCTCAACCTCGTCGTTGATGATGAACTTGAAGGCGTACGGCCGCTGTAAGACGGCGAGTGGGCGAAACATCAAGGGAGATTATTGACAATACTCTTTTATAAATGACCCACACATGGTGACGACATTTCGGTCCGTCCTGCACAGACCGCAACGTCTTCAAATAGAACGAAGTGCGATAGCGCACACATTAACGTAGTTATAGCGCACACATTAACGTAGTTACGTCCTCTTAACGAAGAAAGTGTAAATAACTTCCTCTTACATTCCTGCTGAAGACGACCTTATAACTTTGTACATTACTCAGTATTACACACTGTGCCGTAGTCTAGGATAATTACATGTATTACTACACCAGGCATAGATAAAACACTTACTGTTGGGCAAGACACCTATTGTTGGGGAAGAGACATATGCAACAGTTAGGTATCTTTATTACGAAACGTTTCGCCTACACAGTAGGCTTCTTCAGTCGAGTACAGAGAAGTTGATGGAAGCAGAAGAGACTTGAAGACGATGTAATCAGTCCATCACCCTGACTGACCACCTCAAACTTTAAGGGTGATGGACTGATTACATCGTCTTCAAGTCTCTTCTGCTTCCATCAACTTTTCTGTACTCGACTGAAGAAGCCTACTGTGTAGGCGAAACGTTTCGTAATAAAGATACCTAACTGTTGCATATGTGTCTTACCTAACAACCTGTCGGTATTTTATACCATTTAAATGTTCAAGACATTTATTGTTGGGGAAGACATGGATAAAATACTGTTGGGGAAGACATGGATAAAATACTGTTGGGGAAGACATGGATAAAATACTTACTGTTGGGGAAGACATGGATAAAATACTTACTGTTGGGGAAGACATGGATAAAATACTTACTGTTGGGAAAGACATGGATAAAATACTTACTGTTGGGGAAGACACGGATAAAATACTTACTGTTGGGGAAGACATGGATAAAATACTTACTGTTGGGGAAGACATGGATAAAATACTTACTGTTGGGGAAGACATGGATAAAATACTTACTGTTGGAGAAGACATGGATAAAATACTTACTGTTGGAGAAGACATGGATAAAATACTGTTGGAGAAGACATGGATAAAATACTTACTGTTGGAGAAGACATGGATAAAATACTTACTATTGGGGAAGACATGGATAAAATACTTACTGTTGGAGAAGACATGGATAAAATACTTACTGTTGGGGAAGACATGGATAAAATACTTACTGTTGGGGAAGACATGGATAAAATACTTACTGTTGGAGAAGACATGGATAAAATACTTACTGTTGGAGAAGACATGGATAAAATACTTACTGTTGGGGAAGACATGGATAAAATACTTACTGTTGGAGAAGACATGGATAAAATACTTACTGTTGGGAAGACATGGATAAAATACTTACTGTTGGAGAAGACATGGATAAAATACTTACTGTTGGAGAAGACATGGATAAAATACTTACTGTTGGAGAAGACATGGATAAAATACTTACTGTTGGGGAAGATATGGATAAAATACTTACTGTTGGAGAAGACATGGATAAAATACTTACTGTTGGGGAAGACATGGATACAATACTTACTGTTGGGGAAGATATGGATAAAATACTTACTGTTGGAGAAGACATGGATAAAATACTTACTGTTGGGGAAGACATGGATAAAATACTGTTGGGGAAGACATGGATAAAATACTTACTGTTGGAGAAGACATGGATAAAATACTTACTGTTGGGGAAGACATGGATAAAATACTGTTGGGGAAGACACGGATAAAATACTGTTGGGGAAGACATGGATAAAATACTTACTGTTGGAGAAGACATGGATAAAATACTTACTGTTGGGGAAGACACGGATAAAATACTTACTGTTGGAGAAGACATGGATAAAATACTTACTGTTGGGGAAGATATGGATAAAATACTTATTGCTGGGGAAGACATGGATAAAATACTTATTGCTGGGGAAGACATGGATAAAATACTTATTGCTGGGGAAGATATGGATAAAATACTTACTGTTGGGGAAGACATGGATAAAATACTTACTGTTGGAGAAGACATGGATAAAATACTTACTGTTGGGGAAGACATGGATAAAATACTGTTGGGGAAGACACGGATAAAATACTGTTGGGGAAGACATGGATAAAATACTTAATGTTGGAGAAGACATGGATAAAATACTTACTGTTGAGGAAGATATGGATAAAATACTGTTGGGGAAGATATGGATAAAATACTTACTGTTGGGGAAGACATGGATAAAATACTTACTGTTGGAGAAGACATGGATAAAATACTTACTGTTGGAGAAGACATGGATAAAATACTTACTGTTGGGGAAGATATGGATAAAATACTGTTGGGGAAGATATGGATAAAATACTGTTGGGGAAGACATGGATAAAATACTTACTGCTGGGGAAGATATGGATAAAATACTGTTGGGGAAGACACGGATAAAATACTGTTGGGGAAGATATGGATAAAATACTGTTGGGGAAGACACGGATAAAATACTGTTGGGGAAGACACGGATAAAATACTTATTGTTGGGGAAGACATGGATAAAATACTGTTGGGGAAGACACGGATAAAATACTGTTGGGGAAGACACGGATAAAATACTGTTGGGGAAAACATGGATAAAATACTTATTGTTGGGGAAGACATGGATAAAATACTTATTGCTGGGGAAGACATGGATAAAATACTTATTGCTGGGGAAGACATGGATAAAATACTTATTGCTGGGGAAGATATGGATAAAATACTTACTGTTGGGGAAGATATGGATAAAATACTTACTGTTGGGGAAGACATGGATAAAATACTTACTGTTGGGGAAGACATGGATAAAATACTTACTGTTGGGGAAGACATGGATAAAATACTTACTGTTGGGGAAGACATGGATAAAATACTGTTGGAGAAGACATGGATAAAATACTTACTATTGGGGAAGACATGGATAAAATACTTACTGTTGGGGAAGACATGGATAAAATACTTACTGTTGGGGAAGACATGGATAAAATACTTACTGTTGGGGAAGACATGGATAAAATACTTACTGTTGGGGAAGACATGGATAAAATACTTACTGTTGGGGAAGACATGGATAAAATACTTACTGTTGGGGAAGACATGGATAAAATACTTACTGTTGGGGAAGACATGGATAAAATACTTACTGTTGGAGAAGACATGGATAAAATACTTACTATTGGGGAAGACATGGATAAAATACTTACTGTTGGGGAAGACATGGATAAAATACTTACTGTTGGGGAAGACATGGATAAAATACTTACTGTTGGGGAAGACATGGATAAAATACTTACTGTTGGGGAAGACATGGATAAAATACTTACTGTTTGGGAAGACATGGATAAAATACTTACTGTTGGGGAAGACATGGATAAAATACTTACTGGGGTCAGGTGTTGCTGGTCGAGGAGTTGTGTCCTGGGCACTGGCTCTTGATCCACGGGAGCAGTGTGCACCACCACCACCATCACCAGCCACACTACCTGCACCACCACCACCCACAATAATAATAACATAAAGAAGGAACACTGCAACAGGCCTACTGGCCTATGCGAGGCAGCTCCAATTCTCCCACCGGCTTAAGCCAATGCCTTGACCTAGTGAGGTCAGACACGTCACTTAAGGGAGGAGCAGTGCATCCGACCTAGTATCACAAGCTAGTCAGGTCCAACTCACACCCACCTACACCCACTCATGTATTTATCCAGCCTATTTTTGAAACTACACAAGGTATTAGCGTCTATGACGGTACTCGGGAGTTTTTCACTCATCCACAACTCTATTACCAAACCAGTGCTTTCCTGTATCCTTCCTGAATCTGATTTTTTCAAATTTAAAACCATTGCTGCGAGTCCTGTCTATGTTAGATATTTTTAGCACGCTATTTACATCCCCTTTATTAATTCCCGTTTTCCATTTAAATACCTCAAGCATGTCCCTCCTAATTTTACGCCTTTCTAGAGAGTGCAGATTCAGGGCCTCAGTCTGTCGTCATAGGGAAGATTTCTAATACATGGGATCAACTTTGTCATCCTCCTTTGTACGTTTTCCAGTGCATCTATATCTATTCTGTAATACGGTGACCAGAACTGAGCAGCATAGTCTAAATGAGGCCTAACCAAAGATATATAGAGTTGAAGAACAACCTGAGGGCTCGTATTATTTATGCTTCTTGCTATGAAGCCAAGGATTCTGTTAGCTTTTTTGCGAACGCTAATGCACTGTTGTCTTGGTTTTAGATTACTGCTAACCAGAACTCCTAAATCCTTTTCGCAATCCATAATATGAAGATCTACATTATTTAGTTTATATGTGGCATGGTTATTGTCCTGTCCAACATTTAGAACTTTGCATTTGTTTACTTCTGTCACTTCTCCGACCACTGCATAAGTCTATTCAAATCATCCTGGAGTGCTGTAATGTCCTCATTAGAATGAATTGGACGGCCTGTTTTGGTGTCATCAGCAAATTTGCTTATGTCGCTATTTATTCCCTCATCTAAGTCGTTTATGTAAATTGTGAACAACAACGGGTCCAACATTGACCCCTGTGGAACACCGCTTGTGACGTGCCCCTATTCTGATTTCTCCCCATTTATGCAAACTCTCTGCTGCCTATTCGTCAACCATGCCTCTATCCAGGAAAAAATTTCTCCTCCTATTCCTTGTGCCTTCAGTTTCCTCAATAGTCTCTGATGTGGAACTCTATCGAAAGCCTTACTGAAGTCTATATACACAATATCATATTCAGTACCATGATCTACCTCCTCAAATACCTTAGTGAAGAGAGTTAGTAAATTCGTAAGACAGGAACGCCCCTTTGTAAAACCGCGCTAAGATTCATTAATCAATTTATGCCTTTCGAGATGGCTACGAATTGCTTCGGCAATTATTGATTCCATAAATTTTCCCACTATGGAGGTAAGGCTTATTGGTCTATAGTTCCAAGCTAAGGACCTGTCACCTGCTTTGAAAATAGGTATCACATTTGCCATTTTCCACTTGTCAGGCACTATGCCAGTTTGTAGTGATATGTTGGTGAGCTTTAAGTGATTTGTTCCTAGTGGCAGGGTGACACACTCCTCACAGGGTGACACACTCCTCACAGGGTGACACACTCCTCACAGGGTGACACACTCCTCACAGGGTGACACACTCCTCACAGGGTGACCCCCCACAGAGTGACACTCCTCACAGGGCGACACTCTCCTCACAGGGTGACACTCTTCTCACAGGGTGGCACACTCCTCACAGGGTGACTCCCCCAGAGGGTGACATTCCTCACAGGGTGATACACTCCTCACATGATGACACACTCCCCACAGGGTGCACACTCCTCACAGGGTGACACACTCCTCACAGGGTGACACTCTCCCCACAGGGTGACACTCACGGGGTGACACACTCCTCACAGGGTGACACACTCCTCACAGGATGACACACTCCCCACAGGGTGCACACTCCTCACAGGGTGACACACTCCTCACAGGATGACACACTCCCCACAGGGTGCACACTCCTCACAGGGTGACACACTCACCACAGGGTGACACTCCTCACAGGGTGACACTCTCCCCACAGGGTGACACTCCTCACAGGGTGACACGCCTAACAACCCAGCATATCTTTCGGCATAAATAACGGGACTCTTTTCCCTTTCCTCTAAATTTGTTCACAAGGCAGAAATTTGGAGTGTAACATGTGCAATGTGATCAAAATATTTAGAATAATCTTAAAACTTTTGTATAAATTAAACTTGACTTAATATACGCGTTTAAATTGACTTAAAACTCACATGTAAGGGACTGACCGTCTTATAAACACACGTGTAAACTGACCATCTTATAAACACACATGTAAACTGACCATCTTATAAACACACATGTAAACTGACCATCTTATAAACACACACGTAAACTGACCATCTTGTAAACACACATGTAAACTGACCATCTTATAAACACACATGTAAACTGACCATTTTATAAACACACGTGTAAACTGACCATCTTATAAACACACGTGTAAACTGACCATCTTATAAACACACATGTAAACTGACCATCTTATAAACACACGTGTAAACTGACCATCTTATAAACACACGTGTAAACTGACCATCTTATAAACACACGTGTAAACTGACCATCTTATAAACACACATGTAAACTGACCATCTTATAAACACACATGTAAACTGACCATCTTATAAACACACGTGTAAACTGACCATCTTATAAACACACGTGTAAACTGACCATCTTATAAACACACGTGTAAACTGACCATCTTATAAACACACGTGTAAACTGACCATCTTATAAACACACGTGTAAACTGACCATCTTATAAACACACGTGTAAACTGACCATCTTATAAACACACGTGTAAACTGACCATCTTATAAACACACGTGTAAACTGACCATCTTATAAACACACATGTAAATTGACCATCTTATAAACACACGTGTAAACTGACCATCTTATAAACACACATGTAAATTGACCATCTTATAAACACACGTGTAAACTGACCATCTTATAAACACACATGTAAACTGACCATCTTATAAACACACGTGTAAATTGACCATCTTATAAACACACGTGTAAACTGACCATCTTATAAACACATGTAAACTGACCATCTTATAAACACACGTGTAAACTGACCATCTTATAAACACACGTGTAAACTGACCATCTTATAAACACACATGTAAACTGACCATCTTATAAACACACATGTAAACTGACCATCTTATAAACACACGTGTAAATTGACCATCTTATAAACACACGTGTAAACTGACCATCTTATAAACACACGTGTAAACTGACCATCTTATAAACACACATGTAAACTGACCATCTTATAAACACACGTGTAAATTGACCATCTTATAAACACACGTGTAAACTGACCATCTTGTAAACACACATGTATGTTAAATTAATAGTAAATTAACCTTGACTATAAACGCGCATATAAATTTAAATGAGAGCAACAGCTGTTAGCAGTTATTAACAGCTGTTAACAGCTGTTAGCAGCTGTTAACAGCTGGACACACGTGAAAATAACCTCAACCACACTACTTAATGCAACTTAAAACAACTTGGGTGTGAATAAGCTAAGTCATATTAAGTTTTAACAAGTTTAATTGTGCTTGCTGTGTTAGTTTGAGTGGATGTTATAAACGTCTTTCATGTTAACTAACATAAAGCAAGTTTAACCTGGGATGGGATAATGTTGAAGGAAGGTGTATTGAGATTAAGCTTGTGTGATGGACTTGGTTTGTTGAGGCGTGATATACACATTGGGAACGGGCGAAACGTTGCATCTGTGTTCCTGGCACCTGTTGACTCCCCCCCCCCGTTCGTTCACCTAGTGGTAAGTAGGTACCTGGTGTTAGTCACGCTGTTGTGGGTGGCATCCCGGGAAGGATACCAGGATATCTTAGCTAGGGCTGCACCTAATAAAGAGCTTGGCTAGGATACAAGCTCTTAGTGCTTGGCTAGGATAACGGCTCTTAGAGTGCCTATACACTATACACTACTCTGTGTGGTTGTGTAAATGCACTAGGCGGTATTGGACACCATCTTTGTTTCATTATAAGAGGATCGAACTCTCCTACAGTCAGTAGGTCTTTAAATATTGCTTAATGGTAGGAGATCTCGGCTCGTGGGCGAAAAGACTCGGGGGGGGGGGAGGCTTACACCTGTTGACCCTGTTTACCTAGATTGTAAGTAGGTACCCAGGAGGTCGTTGATTGTCGGTCGCATCCTGTGACGCACAACAATCACATGGGGAGTCAAGCTTTGAAATGAGCTGAGGTAGTATAGCTTGGTTCAAGCTTTGAAATATGCTGAGGTAGTATAGCTAGGTTCAAGCTTTGAAATATGCTGAGGTAGTATAGCTTGGTTCAAGCTTTGAAATATGCTGAGGTAGTATAGCTTGGTTCAAGCTTTGAAATAAGCTGAAGTAATATAGCTAGGTTCAAGCTTTGAAATATGCTGAGGTAGTATAGCTAGGTTCAAGCTTTGAAATATGCTGAGGTAGTATAGCTTGGTTCAAGCTTTGAAATATGCTGAGGTAGTATAGCTAGGTTCAAGCTTTGAAATATGCAGAGGTAGTATAGCTAGGTTCAAGCTTTGAAATATGCTGAGGTAGTATAGCTTGGTTCAAGCTTTGAAATATGCTGAGGTAGTATAGCTTGGTTCAAGCTTTGAAATATGCTGAGGTAGTATAGCTTGGTTCAAGCTTTGAAATATGCTGAGGTAGTATAGCTTGGTTCAAGCTTTGAAATATGCTGAGGTAGTATAGCTTGGTTCAAGCTTTGAAATAAGCTGAAGTAATATAGCTAGGTTCAAGCTTTGAAATATGCTGAGGTAGTATAGCTAGGTTCAAGCTTTGAAATATGCTGAGGTAGTATAGCTTGGTTCAAGCTTTGAAATATGCTGAGGTAGTATAGCTAATTTCAAGCTTTGAAATATGCTGAGGTAGTATAGCTAGGTTCAAGCTTTGAAATATGCTGAGGTAGTATAGCTTGGTTCAAACTTTGAAATATGCTGAGGTAGTATAGCTAGGTTCAAGCTTTGAAATATGCTGAGGTAGTATAGCTTGGCTCAAGCTTTGAAATATGCTGAGGTAGTATAGCTTGGTTCAAGCTTTGAAATATGCTGAGGTAGTATAGCTAGGTTCAAGCTTTGAAATATGCTGAGGTAGTATAGATTGGCTCAAGCTTTGAAATATGCTGAGGTAGTATAGCTAGGTTCAAGCTTTGAAATATGCTGAGGTAGTATAGCTAGGTTCAAGCTTTGAAATATGCTGAGGTAGTATAGCTTGGTTCAAGCTTTGAAATATGCTGAGGTAGTATAGCTAGGTTCAAGCTTTGAAATATGCTGAGGTAGTATAGCTTGGTTCAAGCTTTGAAATAGGCTGAGGTAGTATAGCTAGGTTCAAGCTTTGAAATATGCTGAGGTAGTATAGCTTGGTTCAAGCTTTGAAATATGCTGAGGTAGTATAGCTTGGTTCAAGCTTTGAAATGTGCTGAGGTAGTATAGCTAGGTTCAAGCTTTGAAATAAGCTGAAGTAATATAGCTAGGTTCAAGCTTTGAAATAAACTGAGGTAGTATAGCTAGGTTCAAGCTTTGAAATAAGCTGAAGTAATATAGCTAGGTTCAAGCTTTGAAATAAGCTGAAGTAATATAGCTAGGTTCAAGCTTTGAAATAAACTGAGGTAGTATAGCTAGATTCAAGCTTTGAAATAAGCTGAAGTAATATAGCTAGGTTCAAGTTTTGAAATAAGCTGAAGTAATATAGCTAGGTTCAAGCTTTGAAATAAGCTGAATATAGCTACGTTCAAGCTTTGAAATAAACTGAAGTAATATAGCTAGGTTCAAGCTTTGAAATATGCTGAGGTAGTATAGCTAGGTTCAAGCTTTGAAATAAGCTGAAGTAATGTAGCTAGGTTCAAGCTTTGAAATAAGCTGAAGTAATGTAGCTAGGTTCAAGCTTTGAAATAAACTGAGGTAGTATATCTAGGTTCAAGCTTTGAAATAAGCTGAAGTAATATAGCTAGGTTCAAGCTTTGAAATAAGCTGAAGTAATATAGCTAGGTTCAAGCTTTGAAATAAGCTGAAGTAATATAGCTAGGTTCAAGCTTTGAAATAAGCTGAAGTAATATAGCTAGGTTCAAGCTTTGAAATAAGCTGAGGTAGTATAGCTAGGTTTATGCTTTAAAATAAGCTGAGGTAGTATAGCTTGGTTCAAGCTTTGAGATAAGCTAAGGTAGTATAGCTAGGGGTCAAGCTTTCAAGTAAGCTGAAGTTGAATAAGTGTCCTTAGCTTGCACTTGAGCGACCACGGACGTTGAATCTGTAACCTTGAACTAATGACACAGTTTTTATGAGTCTCGTAATGAAGCATTAAGAGGGTCATTATGTAAGTAACACCTGCGTCAGCAGGTGTTAATGAAGTATTGAGTCATGTTGTTAGTAACACCTGCGTCAGCTGGTATTAATAAAGTATTGAGTCATGTTGTTAGCAACACCTGCGTCAGCTGGTATTAATGAAGTATTGAGTCATGTTGTTAGTAACACCTGCATCAGCTGGTATTAATAAAGTATTGAGTCATGTTGTTAGCAACACCTGCGTCAGCTGGTATTAATGAAGTATTGAGTCATGTTGTTAGCAACACCTGCGTCAGCTGGTATTAATGAAGTATTGAGTCATGTTGTTAGCAACACCTGCATCAGCAGGTGTTAATGAAGTATTGAGTCATGTTGTTAGCAACACCTGCGTCAGCAGGTGTTAATGAAGTATTGAGTCATGTTGTTAGCAACACCTGCGTCAGCAGGTGTTAATGAAGTATTGAGTCATGTTGTTAGCAACACCTGCGTCAGCTGGTATTAATAAAGTATTGAGTCATGTTGTTAGTAACACCTGCGTCAGCTGGTATTAATAAAGTATTGAGTCATGTTGTTAGCAACACCTGCGTCAGCTGGTATTAATGAAGTATTGAGTGAGTCATGTTGTTAGTAACACCTGCGTCAGCTGGTATTAATAAAGTATTGAGTCATGTTGTTGGCAACACCTGCGTCAGCTGGTATTAATGAAGTATTGAGTCATGTTGTTAGCAACACCTGCGTCAGCTGGTATTAATGAAGTATTGAGTGAGTCATGTTGTTAGCAACACCTGCGTCAGCTCGTATTAATGAAGTATTGAGTCATGTTAGCAACACCTGCGTCAGCTGGTATTAATGAAGTATTGAGTCATGTTGTTAGCAACACCTGCGTCAGCTGGTATTAATGAAGTATTGAGTGAGTCATGTTGTTAGCAACACCTGCGTCAGCTGGTATTAATGAAGTATTGAGTCATGTTAGCAACACCTGCGTCAGCTGGTATTAATGAAGTATTGAGTCATGTTGTTAGCAACACCTGCGTCAGCTGGTATTAATGAAGTATTGAGTGAGTCATGTTGTTAGCAACACCTGCGTCAGCTGGTATTAATGAAGTATTGAGTCATGTTAGCAACACCTGCGTCAGCTGGTCCTTCCTAACAAAACTAACAAGTGTTTACAAACAACTTAGGCACCTGATCTTTATGAATTAGACACATGTGTAACACTTGGGGTATCTTTACTGGAGGAACGTTTCGCCTGACAGTGGCTTCGTCAGTCCAATACAAGGAAGAATGGTGAAGATCAGGAGTTTGAGGTAATCAGTCCCTTAATTGATGGACTGATTACATCGACTCCAGGCTGAGGGACTGATCACCTCAAACTCCTGATCTTCACCATTCTTCCTTGTATAGGACTGATGAAGTCACTGTGTGGCGAAACGTTCCTCCAGTAAAGATACCCCAGTGTTGCACATGTGTCTAATTTACGAACTTGTCGGTTCTCTGTACCATTTGTCTACACACCAACCTTCTTCATATTTGCAGTCAGCAGTCGTCACAGGACGTTGTTACGTGAGTCACCGTGCGTCACACTCTGTGTCCTGATCCCGTCACTCCCTCTATATATACGCAGCCACTGACTGGGAAGCAATATCATCCTTAACACTCACTATAGCTTCATGTCTTCTAGGAGTTCCGCTCTTATGGTGCGTTTAGTGACCTGGCGTGACCCCTGGGTCAACGGGGATAACCTTAGGGAAGGTAGGGGAAAGGGAATACAACGTGGAGGAGGGGGAAAGGGATTAAGGGAGGGAAGGGAGGATGAAAGAGGTGATACTTAGTAAGTTTATTCAGGTATACACAAATACAGTTACATAGAATTATCATACATAGCAGCATGTGTGTAGAGAACCTGGGATAACCCAGGAAAGTCAAAGTGACTGACTTCCATGGAGCTGAACTCTTCTCCAAGCTGAGGGACTGACCACCTCAAATAATTTTTTTTCAAGGTTGATATACTGATTACATCATCTTTATTTCATTACTACTGCTTCCTTTATATTTGACTGAAGAAGTCTATTGCGTAGGTGAAACGTTCCATCAGTGAAGATACCCAACTGTTGCACATGCGTCTTAATCAAGTTGTCTGTATTTTATTCCATTTTTCAACATGGGCCAGTAGGCCTGCTGCAGTGCTCTTTCTTATGCTGTTATGATAGTTTAATACAGAATTTCAGAGTGAATATTTAGTTTTGTATAAGAGGGAGTGAGAGGTGAGGAGAGGGATGAGGTGGTTGTTATGAGAGGGAATAGGGGAAAGTTTTAATCTCCCAGAAACCATAACAAGATCACCTGATTCCTCGTGTCGGAGGGAGTGTAGGGAGGGGGAGGAGATGAAACACACCATGGTACGGGTGGGGTTCGAAACCCATGGCGAGTGAGTGGTAAAAGTCCAGGCCAGTGCGTAAACCACTGGACCAGCTGGCTATAATAAGATTCATTCAGCTAGGTATATTTATACACCTGGAGTCTTGCGACTCACTCGCTATGGTTTCAACCTTCACCCGTTCCCTGGTTTATTGGCAATCGTGTTATCACGATTTCGTGAGTCGAGATGTTTATTAAATAACAAGAAGGCACAATACCGTGACTGGAACAATACAAGTACAAATCTGAGTGAAACGTCGTGGTCAGCTCCTCTCTTCTGTGTGCTGGTTATTTGTGAGGTGTTTATTGTAGGAGATGAGAGTTAATGGAGGAGGTGGGGAGTGTGTAGTGGGTTACTTGGGGTGTGGGTGGGGGAGGGGGTGATGACCAGCCGCCCACCAGGAACTGAAAGGTCAACACAGATCAGGTCAGGGGTCAAGGAGCATTACACTAATTCTGTTAAGCGCTCCTGAAGACTCTTGATTCAAGGATTTGGAGCTCCCTTTCCTTCACTGGATCATACTTAAATGCCTGCGTACTGCACAGGCACTGTACAACCCATGTGGGTTTAGCGCTTCCTCATAATAATAGTAATGTAAACCATACCCCCGGCCGGGATTGAACCCGCGGTCATAGAGTCTCAAAACTCCAGCCCGTAATGTAATTTTCTTCTCTTTCCCGCAGTAAATCATTTCTTGTCTTCTCATTACTGTTATTGGGTTGTGTTAGCTAGCAGCAGAGTTCTTGGTAATTTATTAGGAATACCTTCAAGACGGTGTCTCCTGTATAACTCGAGAAGGCATCATTCACCTGGTTAGGTTAGAGTTATGTTTAGTTAGGTTTAGTAAGGTTAGGTTAGGTTAAGTTAATGTATATTAACTTACACTTTCCACAATATTGAAATTAAGGGAAACAATTTTCATACAACACTGAGCACGGGGGGGAAGGGGAGCGTATTCTTGCATTACCAACGTTCATTTTTCTCACAAACGTTGAATATGATCGATGATGCGTTGCTACCAGGGACGTGACCTACCTCCAGTCTTCAGGTCTGATGTGTCGTTCTTGTTTAGCCTTCAAATATTGTAGCACTTAGTACTACCTCGTTTATCTTATTATATGCTTCTGCCACACTGTCCAGATGGCTATTATTATTATAAGACCCTTGTGGGTCTTACGGGAAATGGGAAAATTTGTAAAGGATAGTATGTTATCTTCTGTCAACACTACGTTGTGTGTGTCATATCATAACGCGACGGGCTGGAGTTTTGAGACTCTGACCACGGGTTCAATCCCGGCCGGGGTATGGTTTGTTTGCAATCGTGTCATTACGATTTCGTGAGTCATCTAATTTTTGTTTGTTGTGTGCGCGCACACAGGTGACCGCATCGTTGGCATCAACGGGCGCAGCGTGGAGAACCTGCCCTACACTGCGGCCGTCGACCTGCTCAGGCAGATCTCTCAGCAGGTCACCCTGCTTGTGTCTCAGCCAGTCACCACGCCCTCGCCCATGCCGTCACAATCCAACCTTACACACACCGCCACGCCCACGCAGGCGGTACCCACTCCACCCGCCGCCGCAGCGGCGACTATCACCAAAGACACCGGTAGTCTGGCAGGAGGCGCGGAAAATGTCTGCGAGGGCGCAAAAAGTACCTGTGCGGGCGCAGGAAATGCCAGACCTCACATAGGTAAGACTTACCTTCCTAACATTTCATACAATTTTCTTAATCATCAAAATGGCAGACGTAAACTTAATAAAAACACACTGCCGAAAAGTATTTAATAGAGTTTTCTCTTGGTTAATGTTTTAATACACATTATTAACAAGTTTATTACAATATTTTCTTCTCGAACGTTATTTGCTAGGTAATAAAACCAGTGGTCACTTTTGATGGTTTCTTGTAATGACTCGTTTTATTGTGAATAATTTCTTCAATTATTGCTCGTTATTGATAAGATAATGAGCATTGGTATTATAACGTTAACTCTGAGCGTCATTTGTCCAGTCTAGAGACTTCTGAATTTGAAAAAAAATAATTTTGAAACTAAAATGTACTGCTTCTGCTCAGTATGTTTTTGAATGAATATATATATATATATATATATATATATATATATATATATATATATATATATATATATATATATATATATATATATGTAATAAAATATTCCTATTAGTAAAAAAAAATATATGAAAAGATGGGGTTGTAGGGGAAGTGGAATATTCAAACGGCTTCAGGAAGAAATCCAAATATTTTTTCCTTGAAGCCTTTTTATCCACTTCTCCGAGGCTATGGGTCCCACAATTTACACCAGAGGTGGACCCCATCCTATAAATAAATAAATATATATATATATATATATATATATATATATATATATATATATATATATATATATATATATATATATTAGCTTTAGATCTTTCGCACTTTGGTGCGTCGTCAGGAGCTACGCAATGTTGCAAGACAGCAACAGGTAGGAGGGGAAATTCTCTGAGGCAAGGCACTAATTGAATGATGGTGAAAGTGTTTCTT